ATCCATTCTCTGTCCAGGTGACACACCAAGTACCTTCCTACCTGTCTCTCTAATTACTGTTGCTGTAGTAGTCCAGTCCTCTGGAAGCTCTTTCTTACCACCCAGAGCCTTTAACAGCTCCTCTCTGAATTTATCACAACATTCTTCCTTCTTCATCTTCCACCATTTGGTCTTCTTCTCTGATTTGACTCTTTTTCTCTTTTTCACAACAACAGTCATTCTACACACAACCATCCGATGCTGTCTGGCCACGCTCTCCCCTGCCACAACCTTACAGTCTCCAATCTCCCTCAGGTTTCCTCTTCTACACAGAATGTAGTCGACCTGCGTACTCCTTCCTCCACTCTTATAGGTCACTCTATGCTCCTCCCTCTTTTGGAAATAGGTGTTGACTACAGCCATTTCCATTCTCTTGGTGAAATCCACCACCATCTGTCCTTCCTGGTTTCTTTCCTTGACACCAAACCTACCCATCACTTCCTCATTCTCTGTTTCCTTCACCAACATGTCCATTCAGGTCTGCTCCCATCACCACTCTCTCCTCCCTGGGAATACTCTCTATCAATTCATCCAGATCTTTCCAAAATGTATCTTTCTCCTCCACATCACATCCAACCTGTGGAGCATAACCACTGACAACATTTATCATCAGACCTTCTACTTCTACCTTCAGGCACATCACCCTATCTGACACTCTTTTCACCTCTACTACATTCTTTGCCAACTCCTCCTTCAGGACCACCCCTACTCCTTTTCTCTTTCTATCCACACCATGGTAAAACAGTTTGAACCCTGCTCCAATGCTGCGAGCCTTGCTGCCCTTCCACTTCGTCTCTTGGACACAAAACATCTACCTTCCTTCTCAGCATCATGTCAGCCAGCTCTCTACCTTTGCCTGTCATTGTCCCCACATTTAGAGTTGCAACCCTCAGTCCTACATTCTTCACTTTCCTCTCCTCTGTCTCCTGACACGTTTCCCTCCTCGTGGTCTTCGACTAACAGTAGCACAATTTCCACTGGCACCCTGTTTGTCAACAGCACCGATGGAGGTCCTTGTTAACCCGAGTCTCGACCGATCCGGTATGGTTTCACTTTGATGAACTCGCATTATGGTTTTGGCAAAAGTGTTTTACATCGGATGTCCTTCCTGACACAACCCTCACCATTTACTCGGGCTTAGGACCGGCACAAGAGATACACTGGCTTGTGCTCCCTAGTGGCTGGTTTAAACTTTAATAATCAAAACAACAATAAATAAACTGTAAAGAAAATATCAGTAGAAATCAGTTTGACCATCATTTGATTTATTTAAAGTGATTTAAACTTGTTACACATGATCGATGGTTGGACAGCAGGAAGCAGAAATTCTGATGTTTTAGAACTCATCAAGTGATTCACAGATTGTTGTTGACAGCAGCTTCTTCAGTCCGTTTAGAACAGCTGTTCTAAACATCTGGACAAAGTCTGGTTCTGATCCGGTCCACGTGTGTCCAAGCGTCTTCTTCTGATACAAGAGGCTGCTTAAAGAGTGGACACAGAGATTCTCTCAGTAAATGTAGAAACGTGGAGCGTTCTCCTCAAACCAGGAGCTGAGTCTGCTTCCTGTCTGCTGAGGTCAAAGGTCACAGCTGACCTTTGACCTCAGCAGACAGGACATGTCTTTCATTTACTCCACGTCCACATTTTACTCTGGACACGTTGGTGACGGTGGACACATTCATCATGAACTGTTTGTGTCTTTCAGAGTTTCAACCAGAACCAGAAGTCCTCTACTCCTCACTGAGATGATCCACCAGTCCAAGCTCCGACTTCCAGCTGGTCTCTAACTGGTCCAGTCTCTGATGCAGCTGGTCTCTAACTGGTCCAGGTTTTGGTCCAGCTCATCGCTAACTGGTCCAGTCTCCGATGCAGCTGGTCTCTAACTGGTCCAGGGTTTGGTCCAGCTGGTCTTTTCTTCAATAGACCTTGTAGTTTTTACCCAGCAGCTGTTTGCTTGAACCAGTATTTAGCCCCATTAGCCCCATGTTCCTCATGTATCTCTGTTTATGCTCTGCTCACACACACACACACACACACGCACACACTCTCTCACACACACACACACACACACAGACACACACACACACACACACACACAAACACACACTCACACACTCACACACACACACACACACACACATTCAACTCCGTCATAAACAAGTTAATTAAAAGATTCCTCAGTTAAAACATTTACAGGTGATTCCTTCTGCAGATCAGTCAGAACAGCCTTAAAAACATCTAGTGACCGCAGCTCCTTCACGTTCATGTTTTTCTGCAGCTGGTTCCAAGAAGACGGAGCAGAAAACTGAACAGATTTCTGTCCAAGTTCAGTTCGGACTTTAGGCACCGAAAGTCAAAATAAGTTCTCACAATAAAGAGTCAGAGTCAGAGTTTCTTTATTGTCATTCGCACCTCATGTGGTACATGTGGTGGAGCGAAATTATGTACACAGGGTCCCAGTTACATCCAACAATAAAATGTATAAGAAAAGCAGTAATAACATCTAAGATATGAACTAAGAAAAACATCAACTAAATATACACTAAGCACTCATAACATAAAACATTGAACATCAGCACAAACATGAACATGAGTCTGTGAGCAGATGTGCACGCATGAACACATCAACATTGAAACAGATCAGCAGCAACATGAAACAGATCAGCAGCAACATGATATGGTTTTTCACAGTGATTATTCTGGTTAGAGATTCATGAGTCTAACAGCCTCAGGGTAGAAGCTGTTCCTCAGTCTAGTGGTTCTACACTTAATGCTCCTTAACCTCCTTCCTGAGGGGAGTGGGGCAAAAAGTGTGTGTGCTGGGTG